GATATAAAGACGCAAGTTTTGGTCATAATTCTGCATTTCTTTGCCACTCTGAAAATACTGGAGCACTGATTATTTTCAAGACGTTTCTTTGAGTCGATTCTTTTTCAGTTTCTCAGGCTTTTGCTTTTATCCCTTTTATTAAGTGACCCATATTCCAGTAAAAAAGAAAGTAAAGTGAAATGTAATAACTTGGACTAAAATTTACTGTGGATTACCTAGCGATCAAAACACTTAGTATGTGCTTTCGCCTTACTAATATATATATATATATATATATATATATATATATATATATATGTGTGTGTGTGTGTGTGTGTGTGTGTGTGTGTATATAGGAAATAGGAAAAGAACTCGTTAGGTAAATAATCCAAAAGTTCTTTAGTATTTTTTGTTATTATTTTAAAAAAAATAGTGCTCGATACAAAAGTAGAGCATAAATATAATTATTTATTTAAAAATATGATTCCAATGTGACATAAGAGGTCTCATGTTTCAAAACAAGAGCCGAAAAATTCAATATAATTATTTGAATTAAATTGAATTAATTTTGAATTAATATATATTTATATATATATATATATATAATTTATTCCATGTAATAAAATTATTTCACCACAGCCCTTTTTAAAAGATATATATCTAACTATATATATATATATATATATATATATATAAACCACTTTAAGCTTCCATGTAATAAATTATTTCACCATATATATTTTAAAGAAATTTTAAATACATCTAACTCACTCATTATCTTCTCTCTCCTCCCTCACTTCCTCACTTCGTTAATTTGCATATGCTTAATACGGCCCGTCAAAAATGTGTAAATTTCTTTTCATTTTTTCAACCTTTGGAAGTAAAGTCTGATGATCCGCATTCCTTTAAAAGGGCTGTGGTGAAATAATTTATTACATGGAACTTTAAAGTGGTCTGTTTTTATTTAAATTATTTGCTCTGGATTTACATTGAGTTCTGGATTTTATCCTCCTTGGGTTTACCCATACGGATTACCTAGTTTTTCGTAAACTAAGTAACTAACCATATATATATATATATATATATATATATATATATATATATAACGAAAATAATATATAAATTCTAACGTTCACAGTATTCAAAAGAGGGCTCAATACCGATAGTAGAGCAATAATTATTTATTATAATTTTTCATATAGACAAAAACAATTTATTCACTACAAAGATGCAACTTCGTTTCAGTGCATTTCATTGCATTTCGACTGGTGATGACAAAAATGGTTATGAGCAATCCTGTTTAAAATCAAGCCGCATGTGAACGTAACGTTCCATTTATTTAAGAAAAAAAAATATATATAAAGGCAAAAATGCTGAGGGACTGAAACAGTAGTGCTTATTGATAGCATTTTAGTGAAGGATGGTTGGTTTATTAATGTTGATTAAGGAAGACTCCGTAGCTTTTTTCATTTCTTTTATTTTCCCAGTTTTTCGTCTTAGCAATTCCTTCTGAAGATGATCTGGGATGAGAGTGGAATTGTTTTCACCACCCAAACCCATCAGGGAGGTGGCCAGCTTAAATTTTAAATGTAACTTTCGCCAGTCTAATGTTCGTTTTGGTGTCGTTGTTTTTCATCCTCTGCCAAAACACTTTCCACATATTTAAACTTCTCTACTTGTTTGTTACTGACGTCATCTCCAATTCGTACCTAGGGCTTTTCTCTCTTGCTGATGATTGTTGCTGCTAAAGCGGTGCTTCTCAAATTCAAGGACGCAAAAAATCCATTACGTGCTGTGTGAGAAGTGCAGAAGGCCAGAAGCAAGTCCGTTGCCAAAGATATTATAAATAGGGAGTGTATCTACTACACTGGTGTGGGGAGATTATTCACATCGAAGCTGGTTCCATTGGTAGAAACGCATTTTCTTGCAATAAATTAGTGCGTTTACCTTTCACAGACGGGGGTTCAAATATTTTCGCTGGAGGGTCAGCTTTCTCTAATTTGACATGTCAGATTAGTTTCTTATGGAATTAAAAAAAAATAAACTAGAGATTCATTGTCGTAAAATACGGCCTTATTGGGTGGCTGATGAAGGATACATGGTTGCAAGAAGGTGCGGTTTCTGTCCTTCCCCGAAGATGAACTAGAAGAGAGGATGCTGATCTTAAAATTGTTTGACTGTCTGTTTACACTTGGTGGGTAGGTTAAGCTCGGTATTATTATTACAAAAGTACGGAAGGGGTAACGGACAAATTTGTAAAATTTGAAGGTATCGGTCATGAACCTGATACTTCGTTGGCCGTAGAAAGATAGGGTTGTACACGGCCCGCAGCCCCATGTTTCCAAGACCCCTGTGCTAAAGAATTTGCTTCAACGACTCCGAATCGCTTTTCTTTTTCTTTACTTTTTTAAGCGTTTCACCCCCAAGCAAGGCGGGAAGCCACTAACACGCAAGGGGTTAAAGAGCGTTGGCGTGAGAGCAAAAAGGAGTGATAGAGGAAAGGACGACGAGAAGAACAGGGGATAGATCAAGACATCTGGAGACGTCGATTGACATTACATTTGAATAGTTGGAGATTATAGCTATCAGGGAAACAAGAAATGGGGAGGGAGTTCCACAGGCGAGAGGTGCGAGACATGAAGCTATTGGAGTAGAAGAGACGGCTACTTTTAATATTTTCGACAGTGAAAGAGTACGAGCAAGATGCCAGAATACGACTAAGAACTAAGAAGATCACAGGGGAGATTTCTCGGGAACATAATGAGGAAAGGGTGCTTGGAAAATTTGACACTCACATGAGATACTGACGTGAAGTAGGACAGATGAAAAGAACGCATATCCGCCGGCTGAGTGTGTGCTGGCCTTGTTCAAATTGTTGATCACGCTCTTTCTAAGGTCTGCTCAGCATAGTTGCAGTATAAACCAAAGGTAGGCTCTCTGGGTGTTGAATAAACACAAAATGCGCCTGAGCAAGCGTCTGAAATAGGGATTGGCTAGCCGCCCTAGTTGACGCGTATCCTCGAATACAAGTGGCCAACTATACATTTGCATCAGCGGTTTGTTTGTAAAAGTATCACCTACCATGTGTCCCTTGTTTATTTGCATCATCTGTTATCACTTCAACCTGCGTGATCACCCCTACACACTCAAAAAAAAAAAGAAAAGAAAAAATGATTTGTAATCTACGACAAAAGAAACGATAGTCATAGCTAAGTATATTTTTTATATTCACTTCCTTTTTTGTATCTGCATTTCCTGTCCTAAGTATGTATAAATATTTACAAATAAAATATTCATATTTCTTAATACATTGCAGATTTTCAATAAATTAAAGATTACCCAGAATTCAACGGACAATGGTGGCTCATCTGCATGCAGACAAGAGTAAACATTATTTATATAGTTTCCGTTTAAGTGTCAGCTTCCTCTTCCCTGGTCACGTGTCAGCCTAACATATGAACATTTCGAGCGCGATAAATATGAAGGCTGGAGTTAATATATTGATATATTTATATGGCGAAAGTTTCACTTGTGTCACGATTCTCATAATTCTATTGATTCATTGCCGGTGAGCAAGGACGTTTTTAACAATGGTAATTTCGTCAAGCGGGAAACTAAATTGTTAAGCCGCCATATTGAAAATGCCTAGAGACGCACACAATGTTAGGAGCTAAAGTTATTTGGAAAGAAATAGAATGAGGGATGAATTAAAAAAAAAAAGAAAACTTCTGAAAGTAAATAAAAGAAGGTGGAATATTGCATATAGATAGACAACGATAGATGAAAAGAAGAGAGAACTACAGAATAGAGGTGAAGAACATATTGCAAAACACGTCCTGTGAAAAACAGGAAAAAACAGTAAAATTTAAGTTATTTTGATATGTGTTATAGAGTGATTTCACAGAGGAGGCTTGTATTTGTACTAAGTCGGTCCTAAAATAGGTTCGACGTACAAAACGTTAGGAACTTGATATAATAGGTATAACGCAGAGTAATCTAGTTGTGGTCGCTGATGCTTAAGTATTCGACTAATTGTCGTCCGACATCGACTGACTGAGCGACGATATTCAGTCACCCCACCACGAGGGCGTCATGTGGCACAAGGTCTTTTTAACGTGGGATCTCCGAGCCCGTGGGATCTCCGAGCCCGTGGGATCTCCGAGCCCGTGGGATCTCCGAGCCCGTGGGCTCGGCCAAAAATATGCCCATTGAACCCGTATAAACGAGTTCAGGGTAGGTTTACCTTCCCGAAAGAGAATCCGCCCTTCGGCGTAGCCTCCTTGGGGTTCCTCCCCGCCCAAAGGCAGAGAGTTCAACCGATCAGCCAGTTGACTGACTGAGCGACTCCCACGTTACTCTTACTACTCCTACTTATTATAGGTGTGAGTGTCTATAAACTATAGAATAGGTGTGTTCCCCTATAACAATATGATAATAGATTTTCTTACCATTCTAAAGTAATGAACCAGTTAGTTCTTAAGCTTTTTATATGAATCTCATATGTTTAAAAAAAATGATTCACATGAGACTCAGATTACCGTTATTATTTTTTTTTTTTTTGGTCAGACGTACATGATTCTATAAGGCCAACCATTGAGGTCCTGCAACAAGATCGGAACCTCACTAGGGTGGCAATCTGTGTCATAACACAGATTGTCAATGTAAGAGATTGCCGGGCCAACACCTCGTTTTGCGCCAGAGCTAGGTGTCCAGAGCTGTAGATCCCTCGCAATTTCTTGTTTTGATCACAAGCAGTGTCCTTCAAAGCGCGTTCTACGTTCGCACAAGATGAAAGTGGTCTGTTTTTCTTTAAATTAATTTTATACACAAGCTCTTATAATACGGTGAAAGTCTCATAGTAGATTTAAAAACAGACAGGCTGTTATTATTGTTCATATAGTATATTCAATGGGATTATTATTCAATTTTTTATTTTAAATTGTTTTCTCACAATAAGTATCTTCTCAGTTTTGCTAAAAGGGAAGAAAGACTAAATTTATTTTATGGGTCCATAGAGCTGTGATTTAGTTGGATGTTGTCTCCAAGAGATGTCAAGTATAGCTCTCAGTATCCGAGTATCGGTTCCATCAAATTAAAACTCTGGGGTTTTAATTAATATCCAAATAATGGCACCATACATTAACATATTCATTCCAGTAGCTCGAAAATATCTCCGTTTGGCGTTGTCCGATAGATCAGATTTTCTAAATTATATTTAAATTTTATTTAAGGGTGTCTAGCTATGGGAATTTTTACATCCTTTTCAGTAAAAATGTATTTCGCTTCCTAACTTTGTAAAAGATTCGTTCCGTTGTACATTAGAATATAAAACACATTCGAAAAATTAACGAAATTTATAATGAAGCAGTGTAACAAGTTGTACTTGCAGAACCAAAGAATTGGTTCTTCCTTTTTTTAATTCTTCTGTATGACGTGTCTCTCTCTTCAGGACGTGATTGATCATGCTCTCCACAGCTCTTCTATGCTCTCCATTATTATGTTAAAGAAATTCCATATTTTTTCTTTCCGTTTTTCTTTAAGTCTTCCTCGTTGCTTATTCGCTCCGTCCATTGAATTCTCCGTATCCTTCACTTTTCAGTTACCTCTAAGTATCTCTTCATCTGTAGAAAGATTGTCCATCATTCACAGCCATACAGAAGGATTTATATCACATAGTAATTTAGCAGTCTTTCTTTTCTTTTTTGACTGCTTCTAACGAAATTTTCCACTTGCTAAATACTTTCCTCAGCTTTTGGAATTTCTCTTTGTTTATTCTAATGGTAATTCAGATTTCACATTTTGTAACTTCTGTTGCAACACTCAGCAGATATTTAAACTTTCGTAGTTGTTTGATATTGATGTAATGGAATAACCAGACACCCCCATGAATGATTACACTATATGTAGTAAGTACCTATAAAGTCAACTGTCTGGGGAGAGTGAGAGAGAGAGAACACGCAAACACGTCCGACCTTCCAATTAGTGGCACTCACTATGAAACAAGTAGTTGTTAAACACCCTTTTACGCAAAATACACAATATAATAGGGTGCAAGTCTCATAGTAGTTTTAAAAACAGACATGCTGTTATTATTGTTCATATAGAGATTATTCAATGGGATTATTATTCAATTTTTATTATAAATTGTTTTCTCACAATAACTGTCTTCTCAGTTTCGCTAAAAGGGAAGAAAGACTAAATTTATTTTTATTCATTAATCATGCAAATCTTTTGCAAGGCTTCGGTAGTTTATTTTCTATTTTTCCAAGGAACTGCAAACTTTTATTTCTAGTGAATAGGACTAGTCAATGTATTATAAACATTTGCCATTGAAATGGATTGCCAATAATTTAAATAGGGACATGCATTTTCAATCGCGTAGCTATGGTAACGCATTGAATAGAAGGAAGAAGGGATTGTCAGTGGTCAAGAAATAATTTAACGCCATTTAATTAGTCCTTCGTTCTTTTTGTTTCTTTAATTTGCCTAATTATGTTTCCTGCTTTCAAACAATAGCCACCCTTACGTTTTTTTCTTTTTTTCTTTCCCCACTTTCTTACTTTCTTTATCGTCTTTGTTTTTTCCTTCCTTGTTTTTCTTTCTTTCTTTTTTCTTCTGAACATATTTTTTCTTCCCACAGTTCATTATCTCTTTTTCTTCGTTCTTTTTTTCCGTCTTTGTTTTTTCTTTCTTGCTTTCTCAGTTATTATTAATTCAACCTCTCTTTATTCTTTCTTTCTTTTTCTTTCTTTCTTTTTCTTTCTTTCTTTTTCTTTCGTTCTTTCTTTCTGTCTCTCATTTAAATTTTTTTTCTTCATTTCTTTTTCCTTCTTTCTTTTTTCTTCATTCTTTCTTTTTTTCTTTCTAATTTTACAACTTGTTACATATTTAACATTTTCTTATTTTTTCTTTCTTTTCCAAAGTTTTATTCCCCTTTCTGTTTCTTATTCTTTCTTTCCTTCTTCTCCTTTTGCTTCCGATCTGTCGTTCTTTTTAAATGTTTTTTCTTTTTTATTTTCTCCATATTTCATTCATTCTGTCCATCTCTTTCATTCTTTTCTTTGTATATTTTCATTCATCCTTATTCGTTTCCCATTTTCTGTTTACTTTTTCATAATTTTCATTACAATTTTTCTTTTCGTTCATTACTCTTTTCTTTCTTCCTTTCTTTCCTCCTTACTTTCTTTGTTTTTTCTTCCCTCCTTCCTTTCTTTCTTTTTTTCTTTTTGTTTCTTTCCATTTCTTCCTTTCTTTCTTTCTTTCTTTTTTCATTTCTTTCCATTCTTTCTTTTTTATTCTTTTCTTTATTCCTTTCTTTTCTTTATTCCTTTCTTTTGTTTATTCCTTTTTCTTTTTTTCTCTTTTCTTTCTCTTTCTTTTTTTCTTTCTTTCTTTCTTTCTTCCTTTCTTTTATCCTTTCTTTTCTTTCTTCCTTCCTTTCTTTTCTGTTTTCCTTTCTTTATTTTCTTTCCTTTCTTTATTTTCTTTACAGTTTTGACGTTTCCTCCATTTTGTTTCTGACATCTTCCTTTCGTTTTTTCTCTTTTACATATCTTAATAATCTTTTTAAATATTTTCTCAGAATTTTTATTTAATTAGATTTGTTCTCAGACTTTTAATATACATTTCAGGCATTTCCGAAAAGATTGCTCCAGATCATACTCGAATTCGCCTTCTACACTAGAAGATCGAACTAGTTCAAAACATTTAGGACATTTTTTTACTGAAGTAGAAAAACAGTAATAGGGATGTTATTGTTATCAAAATATTCACATTGTGATTATTATACGATATTTCTATTCCATACTATTGTCTTTCAATGAATCTCTGGTCGGTTTAGCCGAAGGCCAAGACCGACTAACATTTCGAAAGCATCTTTCGGGATCCATACCGTTTGTTTGAATGGCTTCACTTGTTTATTTTATATTTTTTTCGAAACAACCATTTTTTCCCCCGAAGAATTGAATTCTGGATAATGAGGAAAAAATAGCGTGTTAGGTGAACAAACCCACCTACAATTATAAATATTTATATATGTGTATGTATTTCTGCGTGTGTATATTCCATTATCCCTGCATAGCAGCAAGACATCCGCATAAAGCTGCCAATATCTCTAAGCAAACAAACCTGTACACCGGCACTCCTTCACACAGAAATACACACACATTTATTTTCATATATCATTTTATTTAAAACGATATAGTGCATTCATATGATTGTTTAGACAAAGCTATTTTTAATAAGCAGGGGAGGTAATGTCACCCTGACGTGAGTTCAAAAGTCTAAATAAAGGATATGTGGCTCACGACAGGAATATATATATATATATCAATTATAAAAATATATATATATATCAATTACAAATATATATATATATATATATATATATATATATATATATATATATATATATATATCAATTACAAAAAACTTGGTAATCCGTATGGGTAGTCCCAAGGCGGATGAAATCCTGAGAGTTCAATGTAAATCCAGAGCTATTAATTGAAAGAAAAACTGACCACTTTAAGGTTCCATTGTAATAATTTATTTCAACAGACCCTTTTAAAGGACACTGGATCATCAGACATTAATTCCATAGGGCTCAAAATTGCTCTGGTGAAATAAATTATTACAATGGAACCTTAAAATAGTCTGTTTTATATATATATATATATATATATATATATATGTGCTGGATTCTCCCGTCGTATTCGACGTATGACGGCCAAGCAATTCAGTTCCGACTGCCAGACACCTGCACATATGATTTGATTATAGTCGTGAAGGCTTTGTGCAGAACCAACTACACTTTTTGAAGAGACGAATATGGCGACCCTCCGCTGTTTTGCCGTCCAAGGCCCTTCCTGTTTACCTTTCTTCTCCCCACAATTGGAGTGGGGAGAAGAAAAGGATTCCTACCTTTCATCCGTAATCGATTCGACTGCAATTCGACATTTGTATGTTTATACATTCTTTTTATAGATACAAATATTTAAGCAATTTCTCTGTTTCTATTAAATAGTATTAAACAACATTTACCGGCCTGAACGTCCGAGAAATTTTCATAGAAAATATTCGTGCTCGGACAGGAATCGAACCTGTATCCTGTACGGAAGCGTCATATAGCCTGACGTGCCTTAACCGATTGGGCCACAAAGAATCGTTTGGTTAGCACGGTCGATTTAACTGCTTTTAAACTACAATTTTCCATGTCGAAGGATGAATATTTTCCATGAAAATTTCTAGGACATTCAGCCCGGTAAATGTTGTTAATACTGTTTATTATAAACAGAGTATTAACTTAAATATTTGTATCTATAAAAAGAATGTATAAGCATAAAAATGTCTTAAAACAATTGTCGGACTTTGTCCATTTCATATGTATATATATATATATATATATATATATATATATATATATATATATAAACTTTTTATTACTAAAACATTATTGGTAGAGGATACCCTTTTTTGAATAGAAGTTCCGTTTATTATATTAATCCTGGTAACCTACAGGGAATTCCGAACTGAACTATTTACGGTAGTAGAATCCTCCCTTTCCACAATGGCTAGAGATATCCCGTCTAATTCTTGTTTCTATTAATGTTCACTTATGGCTTGCATTGTTTTCAATGAGTCCAAGTACACACTGCCTGGCCCCGGGACTGAACTCACAATTACTACGCCAACAAATTCACTAACCAATGTTTTAGGCTCGGCAAAAAATATTCCCTTAAAACTCGCATAAGCGATTTCAGGGCCTGTCCACCTCCCCGGACGCAACTTTGCCCTTCGGCTAAGCCTCGTCAGGGTTCCTCTCTGCTCAATGCAAAGAGGTCGACAGTGAAGAACAGGATAGAACACTATTCTGTCTCTCACTCTCTTCTTGAGTCTCTGGTAGACGGTTGACTTTATAGGTACTTACTACCTATAGCGTAATCATTCATGGTGGTGCCGAGTTATTCCATTACATTAATATGTTTCGACCTTGAGAACCGGGATCGAATCTCACCAGAGTCAATTTTTCCGGAATAATATCGGTCTGGGGACCTGATCTCAGCATACGGTACTTTGGAAAAATGCTTGAAAAACATACAACGGGTTGACTCAAACCCTGTGAGGGAAAATGAGTAGACGGAAATTGTTTAGAAGACGTCGATCTTTGCGTTTAGCAGAAAATCGCAAGTCATCGTGCAGAAATTCGACTTATAATCCTCTGAATAATAATAATAATAATAATAATAATAACAGTGTGCCGTAATCTTGGATCCTTAAGACTTTGGAAATGTACAAAGTCTCCCCTGTGGTAGTAAATTTCCTTAAGCACAGCATGGGAATGTGGAACACCACACTATACCTAAATCACACCAGAGGCACTGCCATATCCAACCATCTGAGTATCTGACGTGGAATCTTTCAAGGAGATTCCCTGTCACTTCTTCTGTTTTGTTTGTCCTTAATCCCCCTTACACATGAATTAAATAACAGTAGCTATGGTTACAAACTAAACGGAAAAATATTCAATCACCTACTCTACATGGATGATCTCAAACTCTTTGCCAAAAACGTCAATGAGTTGAAGGGCCTCGTGAATATTATTAAATGTTACAGTGATGACATAGGTATTGACTTCGGATTAGATAAATGTGCAAAAGTAACATTAAACACACTCTCAATAGATTTAGACTTTGTCACAAAGATTAGGGAAATTGAAGAAGATGAAGCCTAGGAATTAGCGAAAGAGATTGTATACAGCATGCCCAAATGAAGGAGAAGGTAAGAAAGGAGTACGACAGGCGTGTGGGCCTGGTATTAATTCGCGAGCTAAATTCAAAAAACAGAATATCACCTTTGGCTGTCCCCGTGGTGCAAAACAGCTTTACAATCCTTAGTTAGACTATAGCTGACATTAAGTAAATGGACGCCAAAAAGAGAAAGCTTCTCATTTGATACCGCATGCATCATCCCAAATCTGATGTTGATCATCTGTATGTGCGCAGATCCGAAGAAGGTAGAGGATTAGTTCAATTAGAACTGTCCTACAAAATTACAACAATTGGCCTTCAAAGATACCTGGAAACTACAGAAGACTGGATGATGATATGTGTCAAAGAACATGAAAGTATTAAGTGTTTTATTCCGTAATAAAGGAAAGCCAACACGTTCAAAATGATGTTTCAAATGGATGCAGAAATACAGGTAAAGCACAATACACCGACTGAACTGCAAAATACGTTGTCAGATACCGTACCCATCAGTGGCTACGTAGTGCAGGGTTAAAATTGAAACCCAAGGTTTTATCCTTGCTGCACAGAACCAATGCTTGTTAACTAGAAATTATCAAGCACATATTCTGAAATATTGTATTAGCCCAAAATGCAGTTTCTGTGATAAATATCCAGAAATAATTGATCATCTTGCATTAGGTTGCACGGTATTGGCACCCACTGAATGTAAACTAGGCATGACAGAGTGGGCCAATATCTGCACTGGAAAATTTGCAACTACCACGGAAAGGAAATTTAAAGAAATTGGTATGGACCTTACCCAGGCTCGGTTACAGAGATAGAACCTGTTTCAATTTTATGGAACTATAAAATACACACAGACAGAACAATCAAGTCTAACTTCTCAGATATTGTTATTAGAGACCACAAACAAACAAAAAATGCCTCCTTATTGATATGTCAGTTCCTGCAAACTGCAATCTATCTTTGAAGATCTTCAAAAAGCTATCAAAATACAAGGACCTTGAAATCGAAATCTCAAAAATGTGGCACATGGGAATATCGACAATCCCTGTTGTAGTTGGAGCCCTTGGATTGATTGGGAAAGGTTCCTGTAGACTCATTGAAGAGATTTATTCGGAATTCCACGCCTTAAAGAAATACAGAAAATGTTCTCATGAGTATAGCCTACACATTACGAAGGGATTTATCTATATAAAATATGTGTGCACTTTTTTTATTTGGTCAGTGGAAATATCATGCCATTTCTGACCTTAGGGACCCATTAAGAAATGTGTACACACCAGAAATCAAAGGAAATTTTTATAATAATAATAATAATAATTATTATTATTATTATTATAAGAAGAAGAAGAAGAAGAAAAAACGAAGAAGACAACGATGAAGAAGAAAACAAAGAAAAAATAAACGAAGAAGAAAACGATGAAGAAGAAAACGAAGAAGAAAGAGTAAACGAAGAAAAAGAAGAAGAAAACTAATTAGACTTTTTCATTACTATGTGTTGTGTGGCAGAGACTGAGGAAAGTCCTATTAATATTCATATTCTTTAAAATACGACTTTTCATGTTCTTTTACATACGAACGTCATATTGGTTCACATACGGCAGAGGCGGTAAACAAAATTTTGCTTTATATCATAGAGATGTTGATGTGATTCGTTTAAAGTGAATATCTAAAATAGTGAATGTTTTCAAACCTAATCACTTACTAATCTCTGGAAATAACCAGAGCACTAAAACTTAATTTCTGGAAGAAAAAACAACGTATTCAATA